ATAATTCAGAAAATACTTTGAACAGCCAGAAAACAATATATTTTCATAATTTTGGGGGGAATAAAATGTATATAATCAAGCAAATTATATATGAACATTAAATCCCTCTGATGTAAAAACCTTCAGAATATAGACAGGGATAAAAATGTAAAGTTTGGTGTGTACTGAAGTGGAGATTTATGGCTTTATTAATGAGAAAAAACTCATTTTGAGAAAACGGCCTTTAAAAATATGTATTGTAATTGAAATCTATTGACACAAATAGATAAAGTGCTATAAAAGAAACACTTAACAGTGTCTTTTGGATGTTTTCTTTCCACTAGTCTGAAAAAACACTTTATGAAAAGCCAAAAAGCCCAAAATCTCAAAACTGACAGGCGCATGAAAAAACTTTTGCCTGCAGTGTCTCCCCTTAAAAATATAAAAAATTGATTTGATTATTTTACCCAATATTTTTGTGCACCAGTGTTAATTTAGTGTAACAGAGCTACTATTATAGTTTTTATAAATATTTTGAATTTGTTTTTATTTGTATGTTTTTCATTTTTGTTAAAGTTTAAGTTATTTAATTGTGTTTTTGCCATTTTTATTATTTTTATATATATGTCAATATGGTTTTTAAAATTAATTTTATTTCGGTTTTAGTTTTAGCTATTTTAGTCCATCAAGTTAAACTTTAGTCCATCAAGTATGGACTAAATAAGTATCCTTATTTTAGTTCCACTGAGATAATATTATAGTTTTTATTAATATATTTGTATCAGTTTTTATTTGTATATTTTCCATTTTCATTTCAATTTTAGTTGTAATCATTTTGTTGTTTTTGTCATTTTTATTTTTTGAAATATATGTCTATATCAACTTTAATATTTTTTTTTCAGTTTTAGTTTTAGCTATTTTAGTACATCAAGTTAAACTAAATTAAAAAAAGTAAAAAAAAAAAGTTAAATTTTATTTCATTTAACATTTATTTAAAGTGATCTTTTTTTTTAAATGCTTTTAGTTCTAGTTAACTACAGTATAATTCCCCTGGTGTGCACTGTGTATATTTATGCCTTTAAACCAGCAGCTGACTAGGTTTATTTAACATTTATTAATATTTTGCATGAAGAATTCAGTATGCAGAACCAAAACTAGAATGACAGAAAGAAAAATGATCAAATCAAACCTCTAAATGCGTAACTGAAGGTCAGAAATCTCAGACACCAGAAGGTCGGGTACAAATTCTATTGCAGCAAAAGAAAGGCACAGCCGAGGTAAATATCATAGTGAAGAAATGCAGAGATCTCTGGCACATCTCTCCATAAAACTCAAGACATATGGTATTTACATTGACGTTGCCCCATAATTTCACAGACGTCAGAGCTGAACGAGCTGCAGGCCGGTCTAGACTTCATCATTACTCTCTCTCTGGATTCCTCTGATACAGGTGTGGAGCATTAAAGCGCCGTACAGCTGCAAAACTACAGGATATTTCAAGGGTTTTGCCATACGTTATGATTATTAGTCTTCTTTCAGGCTGCATTATGGCATCACCAAACTCGCATCTAACAAACCCTTTCATAAGTCTTGTTCCGCTCTGTATTTCCCCATGTTTCTTCATCGCTCTTGTGTGAATCTGTTATAAAGCACTCGTGTCCTACATGCAAACATCTATCGCAGGATAAACAACACAAGATGACACCTTTCTACCACTTCTACTATTTCATATCACTTGCATCATTGTCCAAATGAAGGTCCATGGGACAGTGAGACATGGATTCTTATTAAATAATTAATGCACAGAGGCTTTCTGTGACGGTTTAGTGTCGTTTAGAAATAGTGCAAGTGCTGAAGCAACAATCTTTTTGAAAGTTTTGAACAAACCACCAAGTTTTTAAGGAGGTAGTTTCACGGAAGTCTTTGAATTATAGCACAGCACATGAATATGGTGATCGTTCAATATTAAAACCTTTTTTATTTTATTAGCTGAAATTAGTCTCCTCTGCTCACCAAGGCTGCATTTCATTGATGAAAAATACTGTAAAATTGTGAAATATTAGTACAATTCAAAACAGCTGTTTTCTATGTGAATATCTGCTAAACTGTAATTTATTCCTGTGATGCAGCGCTGAATTTTAGCATCATTACTCCAGTCTTCAGTGTCACATGATCTTCAGAAATCATTCTAATATGCTGATTTGATGCTCGAGAAACATTTCTGATTATTATCAGTCTTGAAAACAGTTGTGCTGCCCTATATTTTTGTGGAAACCGTGATGCATTTTATTTTTCAGGATTCACAGATGAATAGAAAGCTCAAAAGAACAGTATTTCTTTGAAATGGAGATCTTTTGTAACATTAGAAAAGTCTTTAATGTCACTTTTGATCAATTTAATGCAGCCGTGACTTGGTATAAAGTATAAATCTCTTAAAAAAAAAAAAATGTACAGACCCCAGACGTTTAAAAGGTTGTGCATACAGTATATTAAAATACTATGGTATTTGCATCACTGTACCATGGTATCAAACAAACTTACTAAACATAACCAGGCATGCGGTTCACGATCTGTCAGGCCAGTGAAAGATCTTTTGATTTTCTCTATTGGCTTCACAGAGTTTTTGGACCGGACGTAACCTGTGAAAGCAGATGCTCTGCAGAAGTGGAACAGAATTTACGGCACCATCGAGATGCTTTTACAGTAAAAGTGATTCCATGACAGCTTCTAAAGTTCCTGCTTCAGCAGCTTTTGAGTTCAGCGCTTCAATAATGTGCATTTAAATTCACAGAGAGGCTCTCAGACCAGGGCTGGATTGGTAATCGGGCATACCGGGCATTTTACCGGTGGGCCGACGAATTTAAGGGGCCGACAGAATGTTTTTTTTGCCGAAAACCATTACGCAAGGACAGCGAGCAGCCAGTGGCCCATTGGTTTGTCTCCTGTACTGACAGCGTAAACATCCAATCACAATGCGCTATAGACGGAGCGATGAAGAATTTTGCTCCGCCTATATAAAGATCGCATCACCCCAACTTCTTCCTAGTCGGCTTTTCCCATGTTTTCACAGGAGATTTATCATATGTCAGGAAAGATGTCAGAATGTGACACAGACTGATGAAATGCCCACAATTCAGAGTCTAAGCTAAGATGTATATCATACACGGTGAAAAAAATGGTTATTGATGTATAGGTCAGAATAAACAGTCACATCCTTCATGCAGTAACTCTCAGATACGTCTAAGTCATATTTAATCGTTAAGCCAAACGATTAAGTTAGGTTAAATGGAAATCACGATATGGAAAATTTAATTGAGAAGTATTTTAAGTACTTTATATATCTTATTTTATATTTTAAAATTATTATACAATAATAGTAAAAGTAATAGTAATTTTTTTAATATTAATAATTAATAATATATAATTAATAATTTTGTTCTTAAATACTTTTATTTTTATTTAGTAATAGTTATTATACTGATTTTTATTTATTATTTATAATAATACATTAAATTTTTATTTATTTATTTATCTCATTATATTATATTATTTATTTATTTATTATTACTATTACTTTTATTATTAAGTCACATTGCTGTATTATAATTAACATTTTTGTCCGAATTGTGCAGCCGTAAAAACACAGAAAACATGGAGCTTTTTAAAAATCAGAATCACAATTTTAATATTTAATAAAAAAAAAAAAAATTAAAAAAAAAATTGCAATTTGATTTTTCATAACCTCTGCTTTACCTTCATTGTGGAGGTCATCTCGCCTCTGATCCTTGTCCCTTTTGATGGCCGACCTTCGGTAGACCACATGGACACGACCTTTGACCTCCACCTCCTGCTGGCCTTTCTCCAGCGGCTCGATGAAGAACTCTTCATCATCAGTGCGAATCAAGCCTGCCTGAAACCACACAGAGATCCATCAGACAAACACAGACGATCAGAAACAAAGCATGTTAAATGAGCATTAGCTTTGACATGGTTTAATCACCAAGAGCCACTGAGATTCAATGTCAGGAAGCAGGACAGTCTTAACTCAATTTATGAACGAGAGCAGGACAGAAATGATTACCGTCCCATCTGTCACTCTCTGAGGCTGTGGGATTGTTCAGCGAGGAAACGGAGGACAGGGAATGATGGGAAAGAAAAGCACTGATGTTGCAGAAGCGTCTGCTGTAACCATTGACTGATATTTGAGCTGTTAGACTGTTCTTCTACGGCACCACAAACCCCAATAACAACAGACACCGTTAAAGACTCCTTCACTTCAGAGAAACAACATCCAAACAGCTGTCGCTTTAATAAAAGCCCCGTCACATCAACTAAGCCAATATGACACTCTGGTTTTACAGTTTCTGACGAGAACATAAGCGCTGCTTGCCTGAGCAAACCACGACGAGGGTGTTCCGAGCGGTTGCTAGGGTCTTTAGGATGGTTGCTAGGGTGTTCTGGGTGGTTGTATCATAGATCTGCGTCTTTAATCAAAATTGAAACTGAAATCGTGATATGGAAAAATTAAAATGAAGAAATTAAGATTAGTATTGTAATTGTAATGTATTGATATTGTAAAAAACATTATTATTATTAAATAAGCAAAGCAAAAATCACTTATTATTATTAAACAAGCAAAGCAAAACCTGGACATTTAAAAAAAAAAATCACAATCTTAATCAGAAAATTCACAATAAGATTTTACACATCTCCACATAAATTGAGATATTGTGGTCAGGAATGAGTTACAATGCAAAGCTAAATGTTTCGAGTTAGGGGTTCCAAAAAAAATCTAACCAAGCCAAAACCAACAAACAGTGACACCAGTAACAAAAAACGACTTCTGGTAAAAACTCAGCTGAACACTTGTACGAGTACAGTGCCTTTCCTTTTTGTTTTTAAAATACCATCAAACTGTCATTTCAGGCTGAACGTAGCCAAAAAAGGCCAAGAAACAGCAACAAGAAAAGCATCCGCTAGCTTTTTTTTGCAGGAATGCTATAAATACACTTTCAGCAATCCAGACCATAATGGACTGCGTTTAGCCTGCACTTGACCAACAGGACAAACTCCTCCTACCTGTGACTTCAAACTTTATATATTTGTATATAAGCTTAACGTCAGCAGAGAACGAAAGATGCTCGATGATAGGTATATGACGAGCTCCTGTGGCTCAGTGGTAGAGCATTGCGTTAGCAGCGCAAAAGGTCGTGGGTTCGATTCCCCTGGAACACAAATACTGATAAAAAATGTATAGCCTGAATGCACTGTAAGTTGCTTTGGATAAAAGTGTCTGCTAAATGCATAAATTAAATTAAATAGGTGTTAGAAGGGGGTTGAAATTGTTCAGAAGTCAGAAAATGCCAAGAGCCGAGGCTAAAGCTCTTCTTCTGCGGCTCACGCAGCTCTCATGGAGTGGAAATTGAATTCATGTGTTTGGACAGATGTTTGCTCAGTGGATGGAGCTCTCACCTGAACAAAGGCAGAAGGAAGCACTTTCATCTGGAACACAAAGACCGTATGTGGGCCATAATGAAGGCCAGGAAACACAAAGCCCAAACGGTCATTATTTTTAATTATTGTAATCTTTGCTGCTGTTACGGCTCTTTCTCCAGAGGAACAGCGGACTCAAGCCAAGTTCTGTGGGATTTGACATCAGCAAAGCATTCGGATTTGGTTGAAGGATGTGGGATTTAGTCAAATGTCAACTTACACATAAGATTCTCAAAAAAGAGTGAAAGATGAAGGACTCTTTTCAAACCAGACAGTAAACGATCACCCAAAACACCCTGGCAAGCATCCTGAAAACCACAGCAGTGAGTTTTGCATGAAAAAACATCACTTAAATTTACTTCAGAACATGAAAATATCTAGTTAAGGCATGCAGAATCTCACAAGTTCAAGTTCAGATTTTGAGGTCACCACTTGTCCATCATTTTCCATCTCCTGTGCACCTATGTGACCGAGTCCTTCTTGACAATATGACTGAAAAAGCAAACTTGACACCTCTTTAAGCACGAATATACACTAAATTCCACATATCAGCTCCACTGTCTTTGAAGCTGGATATTTATAATATAGCGAGACCATACCATACATACCATACTATACCGTCCAGCCCCATACAGCCGCGAGCATTTCACACATGCAAGCTAGAAGAATCACACATGAGCAAAACGGCTGAGTAAAAATTACGCTCTGAAGGAACAGGTTTAACTCTGACAGTCAGTCTTCGGGTACATGAACATGCATTTAGGAGTTAGATAGTAAATTGAGCTAATTTACACTGCAAAGGCAGCACAGAAGCACTTCTGAAGTGGAATTTATACTGTTTAATGTTGCTCAGAGGTGGCATAAATGCATTTTCTCAACAGGTTGCTGATGTGGGTCTAAGCAGGCTTAATTTAGTCTAGCTTTTATGCAGCATTGTGCCTTTACACTGAATTTTGAGCAGGCACAGAGCAGCCTTAACTTGGTTTTGTAAAGACACCTTAGATTTAAATATATGTTTGCAAACAGCAGGTTTTGTGTAAATGTAGGAATTAAATGCTATTAAGAGCTTTTTCTCCACAACACTGTCTAAAAGTGTAAAAACAGCTAAAGAAGATCAAATTGGAGCAAAAATGAAACAATTAATAACAATTCAGTATGCAAATGGAGGTAAAAAAAACAGACCAATTGGAATTGAGTATTCAAATATTTCATCATCACTGTCGCATTCTGAAAGAATTCTGTCATTGTGAGTCAAAGGGAGGTTTCTTAAAAAGGAAGTTTCTTAAAAAGTATAATGTGTACAACAACCAGAAATAGATGCACGTCAAAGACTGAAATTATCCGCAATATAAAGTTTAAATGGAGCGTGTAAGTAAAGTGTTTTCAGCTGAATTAATTGCAAAAACGTGATAATTAGAGTTTAAAACAAACCCGAGGAGTATCTTGCAAGCACAATGAAAACAGCAATGCAAATACTGTGAAATAAATGACCAACACTTGTTATTTATAGACAAAACACTATATCTGGGGGATCTGAATCCGTTTCTCAGAGACGTGACTTACTGAAGAAGAAGGTGCAATACTGTAAAACAGAACTGGTTTTTCCAAAAACTGCTCGACAAACAAAAAGACAAAGAAAAGGCAAGCGTCCAGTGGTGAGAAAAACCCCAAATCCTTCTTTATTGTCACACCACAGCAAAACATGCAATTTGAGGGAGATTGTTTGTCAACCTATAATTTGTAGTCAGGAGCTCGGCCTTCTGTTTGAAGTAAACAATACTGAAAGCCAAGCATTTGGACAATAATATGTTTCTATATATATTTTTGAAAGATATTAATACTTTTATTCAGCAAGGGTGCATTAAATTGATCAAAGTGACAGTAAAGACATTTGGGTCATTCCGTGTCAACTCAACCAGAGGTCCCCGGCTCAAATTTTTGAATTTGCTAATATTTTTCTAAAGAAAGATAAACATGTATAGTGATGAAAGCCCAAATATTAAATGTCATGGATGAATATTTACTGAGTAATCCACTATTTTGTAGAGGGGGGTCAAAATGGCAATTTTCACCTGAGATTCAGAGCCAAATTACAGGGGGTTAAAAATGACTTCAGAAAGATGGCAGCATCATTATGTTACTTTTACACAGAGAGTGGTAGGTCTATTAGTAAAATGTTGACTTTGGCAATATTTGTTGCATTATGTGCCAATGGTGACCATTCAAAAATGGGGAAAGAGCACTTTTCAAGTTTTTTTCTCCAAAGTTTGCAGGCCTGTAACTCAAAAAATATTAAAGATATCTTAATGCTCTTTTAGATATTGGGTCTTAACAAACTTCCCTGTTGGCATCGTCATTTGTAAGGCCCTATATTGTTCGGTTCCAGAGATATTGGAATTTCAATATGGCTCCAGGAATAAATCATTAAATTGTACACATTTTCAGTGGTCAAAAACCAAATGTTTTTGTAATGTTACAAAAGGCTTATATTTCAAATAAATGCTTGTCTTTTCAACTTTCTATTCATCAAATAATTCTTAAGAATAAAACATATCAGTTTCCACAAAAATATTTGGCAGAACTGTTTTCAACATCGATAATAATCAGTTTCTTGAGCATCAATCAATCATTCTAATATGAATGATTTCTGAAGGATCATGTGACACTGAAGACTGGAGTAATGATGCTGAAAATACAGCTTTGATCACAGGAATAAATTACATTTTACAATATATTCACATAGAGAACAGTTATTTGAAATTGTAATAATTTTTCACAATTTTTTACTGTATTTTTAATCAAATAAACGCAGCCGTGTTGAGCAGAAGAGACTTTAACAATATTTTTATTTGCATGGACGTGACATCCGGACAATGATACGTTTGAAATCTGCATACAAGGACAAAATGTTAAGGTTAGGGGTTTATTTAAATCACTAATAGTAATCAATCAGTAATAATTAGCTATAGTGTCATATGTGACCCTGGAGCATAAAACAAGTCATAAGTAGCACAGGTATATTTTTGTAGCAATGGCCAACAATAGATGGGTCAGAATTATTGATTTTTCTTTTATGCCAAAAATCATTAGGATAATAAGTAAAGATCATGTTCCATGAAGATATTTTGTAAATTTCCTACCGGTATAAATATATAAAAACTAAATTTTTGATTAGTAATATGCATTGCTAAGAACTTTAAAGGCGATTTTCTCAATATTTAGATTTTTTTTTTTTTTTGCACCCTCAGATTCCAGATTTTCAAATAGTTGTATCTCAGCCAAATATCCTTCCTATCCGTCCTATCCTAACAAACCATACATCAATGGAAACCTTATTTATTCAGCTTTTTCAAAAAATTGACCCTTATGACTGGTTTTGTGGTCCAGGGTCACATATTTGCAAAGCTGTAACCAAAC